AGATACTCAACGCAAATATGTCCTCAACCAGAAAATGTTAAAAACGAATAGACTAATAGGAAGCGCAAACCTTCCGCTTTCCAAAAATTCCTTTTTTCAGGATACAAAATTAGAGAGATATTGCCTTTTAAGTGGCAAAAACTCGCATGAAAATTTCAGCGTCCTCGACGCTTTACTCGACGAAATTTGAGAGACCCTATCTCTTCGAGTGTAAAGCTTTTAGATCAATTTCAATATTGCCCGGTAGTAGCAAATCCAGCTCTATCTAACCCTACCACATACTGCTCCAAAGGTTATGAAATGGGGAATGGAACCTTTTCATCGAGAGTGTAGATTTCGACGGTTTCGAGCGGGGTTTCGGCAAATCTGACCCACGGATAAACCGCGCTGCAACTGAATGCTTTGCTGTACATTGATGGAACTCGCTTATTCACATCAAATCAAAGTTAGAGGGGTCGTATCAAGACCCGATCTGAAGGGGGGGTCGTACTGATGTGACCACGTCCTCGACACGATTTTCACCTTGGGTCGGAGGTCGAGGGAGAGAAAACTTACCTACCGGAGAGAATCGAACTCCCTGTGCAAACTGACATGGTGGAACCCCAACGTGGCCTAGCATGGCCCACCTCGCAGCGCTATAGGCGCATTACGCCCTCCTCTTGCTGTCTGATCCTCTAGCCTTTTAGCAGAGAGAGCTTTGAAGAGGGCAGCACCAAGGAAGGTCGCGTAAATGAGGAAAACAATGAGCAAGGAACTGGTTTCCTGCCTCGGGATTCGGGTTGCTTCTTAAGACTTCCTCTTCATCCCTGCACCAGTGACCATCTACCCTTTCTTATTTGATAAACTGCTTTTTCACTTCTTTAAAATCCGCCTCTGAAGCAGCTTTCTAAAAAGCAAAAAGTACCTTCAAATGGGGTCACATGCATTTGAAGCGCCAACGTTATCACACGTGAAATCATAGCCACGTAGTATTGCAGAAATACTACCGTAATCACTAGTCGAAGATTCCAATGAAACGGTGTCTGCACTTCCAGATATATAGTGAATCCGAATAGGAAGAAATCGAAAAACAAGACAATCGTTTCCAGCACAGTTATAGAGGATAGCACAGTGTGGTGTAGTGAGTCAATGTTAGTCAAGATTTCTTATCAGCAGCAGCATCCTGAGAGTCACCGGTCGCCTTAGTTGACTAAATAATCAAAAATATTGATAAGTGTGAATATCCTAAAATAGAATTTTTGAACAGCGTTTTACTCTAAAAAGGAAGCTGGGAAATATAGGGAGAGAAAAGCTAAAGGCAAGTTTTGAAGTGCACATGCTTGCAGATAATGCATGGCTCAGGAGAACTTTGCTGACTCGGATATGATTTGCAGCAATGTAATCTGGTCAGCAGGTGAAAAAATGAGATGAAATAGGTGACGATCGACTGAAAAGGTGTGTGCTCAAATGGAAGGCTACGAAAGGTTGAAGGCTTCACGTATACACGCTCTCGAAGGGATAGCAAAATTAATGGTAGGCATTTTTAGAACCCGCTACAATTTTGATCTTAGACCCTGCGAAAATCATCGCTCATTCACTATTTCTGCCCCAAGTTGTCCTAGACAGATGAAAAGGAGTGGACTTATTCCTCTCCCCATACCTGCAACTATTTCAATTATTAGCGTACGGGTGAGGTATCTGTTTCATTGGCGACATTAGAGTAGACCCGCTCCAGCTCAAAATGAAATTTCGGTCAGATACCTGAGACTTTATTTTCGAGCACATCACGCGTCACCCGAGCAATCCATGATGTTACTTAATTGTGAGATGAGCCCAATGAGGAATTTGATTTTCATGTAACACTCCGCTCCCCAAGCCCCTCCCCCCGCCGGTCTCGCCTACGTGGACAATTTGAATTCAGTTCATCACTGCGCTCATGGCGATGCCTCTACCTGCGCTCATCCAATGGTTCGAAGGCATAGGCCTTCTATGAACTGACATGTTTAAAATTTGCCACATTGTAATCGGCTCATCCACTCCTTCCTCCCTCCAAGGATTATGTCCCTAATTCTCTCACCTTCCCATTTGTGATTTAGAGCCCAGCCAGGCGCTGTTCTCTGATCGTCTGTGCTTCCGGCTTCTTGCGACAGGGAACATAAGGGGAAGAGTTCAAAGGAAGCGATTACGATAAAGAGGAAGCGCATCGGGAAAGCATACGCACCACACGAAACAGTTACTTGCCTGCCAGAAAGCGATGTGTGGCGCTTCCACGACGAAAGGTGCGCTGGTTGCTGAGCAGACTTCGAAAGCACTCCGCCCCCAAAAGCGATCCGCCCACTAGTTACTTGGTGATTCGGACGAGCTGCGTTGCCAGCAGCGCGCACAACTAGGATCATCTCTCGATTGAAAGCGTCGGTTTGTCATGGTACCCCCAATCGCGTTGGCAGTGAAATAGTTTATTGTCCGCGTCAACTGAGCTGTTCAGTGTTCTGAGCCATCGTCATAGGTCACCAGTCGAAACTGGCTCGTTTACTGTGAGAAGGCACAATTTCGCGGAGCACGAAATCTTTGCTAACCAGGAAGGTCTTTCAGGGCGTGACGAGCTTTTTGAAAACGGTCTTTTGCATGATATAGGGGCAGATGCGGGGACCACAGAACCATGTTTAATTTTTCCTGAACGGCCCTCTGAATACCAGAAAAGGGGGTCCCTAGTTCGATTCCTCTTGGTGACAAATTTTTGCATTTCGAGTTGACGTTCCAAAATTCGCGCAAAATGGAGTTCTGATTGTTCTGGTTGGTTCTAACTCCATTTTGCGCGAATTTTGGCACGTCAACTCGAAATGCAAAAATTTGTTACCACGAGGAATCGAACTAGGGACCTCCTTTTCTGGTATTCAGAGGGCCGTTCAGGAAAAATTGAACATGGTTCTGTGGTTCCCGCATCTGCCCCTATATCATGCAAAAGACCGTTTTCAAAAAGCTTGTCACGCCCTGAAAGACCTTCCTGGTAAGTTCTGGGACTAATAACTTCAGTATAGCATACATTATACGAAGTTAGAAACCTTCTTCTTCGGAAAAGTGAGAGAGCCAGGAAGAGAAAACGAGAAGCGAATACCAAGAGTGCAGTGGGAAACGGAACGATGGTTGTGCATGGAGTGCTTTAGTTGGCCATAGCTGCGAAGTTTAAGCTTCTAGCGCTCTTATACGCAATTCGGCAGTCCATTGCGATGGCGAAGTTTTGGCCTATTTCCTTGACAAAGAGCCAGCAACTTGTTCGCAGATGGAGGCATGTCTAACACGAAACACCCTGCTACCAGAGAAAAGCCTATCTGAGACATTTACAATAATTGCCCTTCTAGAGAGATCGATATTCTTCGAAAAGTGATGTTACTTCGTGTTCGGTGGAGTTCTTTGATGCTTTTGTGTTAGAAGAAAAACGAAGGAATCACGCCTTTTTAAGTGAAGGCAGATTATGGATATTCTCACCATTGTGCTCTCCGTGCCCACGAGTAATCCGAAGAAAGAAGTGGCCATATGGATTGACATTCTCGAATAAAGGATCTGCCTTCAATTCAGGCTGGACACATTCCTCACTTTGCTTCATTCGTGTTCAAGGACGACGCCTCAGGCTCCGTTATATAGCTTTTGGCATCTGCTCGTTAGTTTCAGTGTTTTGGCCAAAAATCGAATCGAATCTTATGAAAGTCGACTCGAACTCTACTCATTTCAGACTTCAGTTCCTGGGCGGCTGTGTGGAAGCCATGGACAGGATAATTTTACTCTATCCGTTGTTATTCGCCTGCTATGGATCAGTTCTGAAAAATGTGTCGTCTACACCCGCCATTGAAATACGGTACAGAGAAATCGGTGCCTACTGTTGAAATGGATAAGTGAAGTATAAATGCGTAAAGGAAAACCCTACGATGAGTTCAAGTAGATCGGCCACCTTAGTGAATAGGATAGAGCATCAGCGGAGACTGGAATTGTGCCGTTTCGGGCACATATTCAATACGCACTACAGGGGCGATGGGGGCTTATAATAACTTTGAAATGCGTTGAAGCTAGGCCATGCTCCCAATAATAGTGCAGCAGACCTACAAGAGTTATTTAAGGCACCCCGCCGCGCTGCGCTGCTGATATTAAGTATGTTTCTGTACCAACAAACTACAACTACATATACGAAACCACCCTATTGCTGGCACGAAGCTAGCTGCTGTCTGAGTAAATCACCAAAAGACACCCTCCCCCACCCAGAGAACACGCTCTGCACAATGAGCACTACTGGCCCATTCTTTGAAATAAAACCAACTATCGTCTCCGCCTAATTGTCACCGTTTTTGGGATATCCTAGAACTTTTGTAGTTATATTGGTCGTGAAACTTGTGTGAGGAAAAAAAAGCATTGTGAACGCGCTTCACTTCGACCCTTGTGAGGCTCTGGCTGCGCAAGTTATGTACTTGTATGCGTCTAGCTCGTCCGCTATGTTCTCTGGCATAGGCGCTCAATGTGTCTTCGTTATAGAACTCGTATATTGCCCTCAGAAAGAAAGACTCTGTCTTCATTGATTTCCTTGGTTCCTTTACCTTTCCAACAGCGGCAGTCCACGATCATACTTGGGCATTTGGCTCACTCCAAGACTGCCCACTGCAATAAGATCTTAGGATCTCATTGCACAGTAGGCATGCAGTGATAATTGATAACTGTGCAGTGATAGTCCATGCGCTTTGCTAGTCTATTTACAGCCAGTTACAACTCCACCAATGAACCTCTGCAAATCGATTGTGCTGAACAGTGGGTGATGGACATGCCAGGATTCGCGGCAATGGAGAAGATCTGGAATAAAGACCATGAGGCTGACTTTGACACGACAGATATCGTATTTGGTGGGAAAAACGAAAGCATCCAGTGAGCCTCTTTATTCGCAACTATCAGTTGATCTAGAAAAAAATTTCATTGAGGTTCTCACCGCTTTTGCTGGATGATTCTGGAAACTATGCATGTTGTCCTGAGGAACGCCGGTGAAGTGGAGTACTACTGCACGACTCGTAATCTGACAGTGGTTGAGACGGGCGATTACCTGACAGCGATCCTTGATTCTTCCATGAATTCTACTAGAGACGGTATGCATTGATAGACACTGGTATACAGCTCTATATTTTAGGGTAGGATAATCACACCAGAGGTGCTATCTGGTCGCGTGGTCAAGCGTGCACAGCTCTTTTGTCGGAGTTCTTCGATTTTCATTAATCTTGGCGTTTTTATAATGGTGGTGTGATAATTCATCATTTGAAAAGCTAAAGTGTGGGGCCTGGGAGCAGGATCAGCTATGATCGTCCGCTGTACCAAGTTCAACGGGGGAAAGGATATTTCTGACACGCAGATTTGTAGCGGTGGAAAGGGGTCCTGAGTTTTCTCTGGGATTTTTAGAGGGGTCGTGGTAAAAAGCTTGTGGACGCGATACAATGAAGGATGTTACTACTTCTTCGTGTAAGGGCTTCTAAGGTTTTTTGGCTGATACTGTGTAAGGCAAAAGAATGTGGAGAGGGTAAATGCCGTTTCTCAGATATATACTCTAACCGCCTTCACCCGTTTCCCGCTCTGGGGCCTTATCGGAGAAGTAAACTGGGCGGAGTTGGAATGCTCAGTGGGCTCAGAATCAAAGACTGTAGAAAAAGCCTATGGTGGTGGGAAGCGTCTGATTGGGGTTATGGAAAATCCCCATCTCCGAAAACCTCCTCCCTTCGTTCCCCGAAGATGTTGATGGTGGAGGCGGGTCTTACTACTTGGTTAGTAGTATCCTAATTTTGATTGCCTTCATCAATTTTATAATCATGGTGTGTCTCCGCAGTCGATGCGCGCATTCTAAGATACCAATTCCTTGATACGATTCTGTTTTCAGTTCCAGTGTATCAGCCAGAACCAACGAACGGGACGGTATGGAACGTTCGGCTCGGCATTAATGAGACGCTTGATGCTCGTGATAACCACACCTATTTTTTGATGCTGTTTAATGGAAACGCTACTGTACATTGCACTCTTAATGGAGAAAAGCCCTCAGTGGAAACAACAAAACTCAACGCGGGTATTTTCCACGAGCACCTGTTTCACCGTTCAAAGAACCCCGACAATTGAGAACGAATGCGTCGGGGATTCAAGCAGGGTTCGTGTTTGCACATCTGTTTCAAATTCGTTGGCAGCTTTCTGCACCTCTCGAGTGGTCGTAGATACGCCCCACACGCTCCACAACGTAGTGAGGGCCCCTGAGTACGAACCCTCTCAAAACCACAAATACCACGCCTCTCTGTGTTTGAATAGCGAACGTACAGTTGACCCTGATTGGGTATCATGTGAAAGTGGGTGCTTAACATGCTCCTTTTCCATGCAATGGGGAAATGTAGCTCCCGAATCAAGCGCTTGAGATACTCCGTTGGACAGATAGGGTTTCTTAAGTGGTTGAGTTGCCCATCGTCTGGTGGGGACGGGGGGCGTGCCACGGAAGCTGTTGGGAGTTGTCTACAGAGCATGGCGAAAAAGCATCCTACCTGCATAAGGGCGCCCCGTGCTCCGAAACAGGTGATGTCAAAGCGAAACATCTTATTCGGTTTTTTAAACACCTTTAGGGTGAAGGGATCTAAAGGCGGTCGCCAAGTTGCTAAGTCAACGGGCCAGGTGAAAGAGGACGTCATAGGTGGAAGAGCAGAGACTGTGATTGAGTGGTGTCTGATGCAGAAATGGACTGGACAGTTGAGAAAACGTGAGCAGGGAGTGCACCGAGGTAGGCGAAGCCACGTCACATTATTCCATGATAGCTCAAAAGCCGAGAAAAAGGTGGATAAAGGCTGCTGAAAGAGAGAAAGAGGTCAAAGGACAGTTTAGGCAGGGCTTGCATTGATGAATAGAGGGCTGAAACCCCGTGTCGACTGATACCTTCATGGATTCGAGCATGAAAGCATAAACGAGGTGGGGCCAGCAGCAGAGCAAAAAGGAAAAGAATCCATCGAAAAAGCTAATTTAAGGACTTGTTAATCTCTATAAAATGGGTTTTCCTTTTGGCAACTAGACATTGGGCATGGAGGAGGGAACAGACAAGAGTGTAAAACGGATAGGAGGGCACGAGCACCCGCAAAATGGAAGCGGCCGAAGCGGTTTTGAGGTGGTCCTTGCAAGCTGCACGCATATGAGCCCGTAGAACCGTGTGTATCTGCGTGATATCCGCGATTCTGGTAGAAAGCTACCCACAAGAAGGGTTGATCCACTCGAACCCGTTGTGGAGTCTGTGGGTAGCTCCCTGGTTTGCTTACCAGTGTTCACATCCTCTTTAATTGAATGTTTCAGATCAGCGACCCATCTTTGCCTACCGATTACGATGTGGTTATTCGTTCGTTCAATGCCACAGTTCATTCGGGAAACTACTTCTGCAACGGAACATATTTGAATGGGAACGAGACCGAAACCGACGAGGTACTGGTACAA